GACTTCTCCCATAAGTACCATCAGTTTTTCAATTAAATGGTAAATCTTGAAATGATTGAAAGTTTACTAGTTCTTTTTGATATAGTAACTTTGTGCATTCCCCCAACCTTCTGATAATTCCTGAATTGTTCAATATTTTGCTCACAGAATACTTTTTAAGACTGCAACTCCAGGTTTGCATTTTTGTTCAGTGCTTTCAGCTGAGTGTGTCCTTCCGTTTAGCTTTTCTAACCCCAGGTCTTTGTATATTTCTCTATAATAATTTAACTTGTTTCCTTGAGCTGCCCTTTGAAATGCTCTGTTCAGCTATTCTACTCATCATTTCTACCATGTCTTAGCTACTCTTCAGTAGCTCTATTATCAAGAGCAAGTTTCAGATGTCTCTTCTGACATCCACTTTGATATTTTCTTTTGTTTCGGTGTTTTTAATGATCTTTTGCTTTCTTCATGTTTTTTGTTCTTGGTATCATGCTACAGCTTGTCAGGTCTTCTGTCATTAATGTTCAATGCATCAAATCTGTTCTTGAGATGACCTCAAAATTCATGTGGGATAGAATCAAGGTAGAATTTTGCTTCCTGTGGACTTGTCTTAATTTTATTCATCGTCAACTTGAATTTACATATGAGCAATTGATGGTCTGTTCCACAGTCAACCCTTGGCCTCATTTTGGCTGTTGATATTGAACATCTCCATCATCACATCCTACATGTGTAGACAATTTGATTTCTGTGTATTCCAATTGGAGCAATCCATGTGGATAGTCATCGTTTATGTTGTTGAATGGAGGTAATTGTTATGAAGAAGTCACTGGTCATGCAAAATTCTATCATGTGATCTCCAGTTTTGCTTCTATTACCAGGGAAATATTTTCCAACTACTCTTCCTTCTTCTTTGTTTCCAATGTTTACATTCCAATCACCAATAATCATCAAGGATCTTAATTGAATGTCTGACTGGTGTAAGAGTAAAGACATTGGTATAATTGTTCCATTCCGGACTCACTAGCTCTAGAGACTGGTATATAAATTTCAATGTTAGTTGTATTGACTGGATTTCCTTGTATTGGGATAGAAAGTATCCTATCACAGACAGCACTGTACTTCAGGATAGATCTTGACGTGTCCTTTTTAGACAATGAATTCCACACCACTCCTCTTGAATGGGTCACTCCCAGCATAGCAAACCACATGACTGTCTGCTATCAGTCCATTTCCGCTTAGGATAGGCATCCTTATATAATATATTTCATTTTTATGACTTCCAATTTTCCTAGATTCAAGTTCAAATTATTAACA